TAAGTACGGTGCAGATGGATAGACAGATTGATTTTGTTCAAATCAATTGATGCGGAAAGCCAGTTAGCTTTAGAGGTTGTAATCTGACTTTTCGCAAGAGAAACTTGATTTGATCAAGCATAGTTTGTACACTACAGCCTTGATTATCCTAAGGCATTTTCACAGCCGCTTTTAACACTCCATTTGGTAAAAAAGCAGGGTGAAATCACACAAATCAAATGAGGAGTCAACTTTTACGATAGATATTTTGTATTTCACGCTTAAAAAATGCAGGCCCTCTTCTGCTTCACATGTTTTGCCTGTCATATTTTCAACTTCTATTTGTACACGTACTTTACGTTTTTAGAAGCCAATCAAGATTGGGAAAAAAATGAACCACAGCAGGTCTGACAAGTGAATTCTTATCTCTGCTTTCTACGGCCTTTTTACTCATGTAGAAAAAGTTCAAAAAAATAACGTGGCCAATGTGGCGTAAATTGCTGAGCACAAAATCCACCTACACAAAAACGTGTGTGGATCGCTCTTTCTTCTTTCTTCAAAGAATCAGCATGTTCCAACTTCCGCATTGTAGTTACATTTCCCCAAACCGCAAAAAGCCTCCATAGACGATTCGCCATGAGCTGAAATTTCATCAATTGAGACTTCTCTAACTTCACACTGTTTTGCATCTTTGGATTGATCTCAGCTTTTTTTGGAAAACTGGGTAGACTTTTTAAACTTTCTTCAAGATCACTTAAGATCACATTTGTTGATTCTTTTGGTCCATTGTATGTTCATGTTCCCGCTTCAATCCACTCTGATAACTTACTGAATTCTTTAATGCTGAAATGTGCATTTAATAAAAATAGAGAAGAGTCCTTGTTAAAACAAACTTGGGATTTGAGTATTGAGTAGTTCAAAAGAAAATAAATATGAGAAGAGAAAAGAAAAGTGCAGCATTATAACCTACCCCAACAAGAAAAGATGAAGAATTCAATATTATAAGTATACCTTGGAATCACTCAAACTTGCTTCTCTTTCCTATCTATGACAAGAGTAAGTAGAATTTCACTAATTGATCAATAACATACTTTGAACTTATGTTGGTTTATTCCTTTATGTAATTTGTTATGATGTCAGACCCGTGCTCTTTCATTGTGGCCAAAGATTGTTATTGAGCTTTAGATAACTACACCAACTAACATATCCTTTATCCTGAACCTATAAGGTGTTTAATTGAACTTGCTAATAGTTGATTGTTCCTCACCAAGTATCCAACAGATGATCTTTTGTTTAGCTAGACTTTTGTTGGAGTCTTACGCATATTGTTACGCATATCATCAGCTCAGATAATCTTTTGTTTAGTTAGACTTTGGTTCAAGCCTTACGTGTATCATTACACATATTATCAGCTTATATAATCTTTTGTTCAGTTAGACTTTGGTTTAAGTCTTACATGTATTAGGGGGGCTCAGGTCAAGATTTTTTACTACTTCAATCGTAAAAAAATTTTCCCAATTGCGTAAAATTTACGCAAAATTTTACGCAATTGGGAAAAGTCATACGACATCCCAAATTTTTTTTACAAAAATTTGCGTAGATTTAGTGCTCACAAAGACATATGAAAAAAAAAATTTGCCGTCCTTTCTTACAAATTGGGAAAAGTTTTTGCAGCACGGTACTGTAAAAAACTTTCCCCAATTTTTTAGAAAAAGGCCGCAAAAATTTCAACTTGAGCCCCCTTATTGTTACACATATCATCACGTACCTCATCAAGTTGCAAGAGAAACAATCTTTTTGATTTTTTGTGAAAGTTTTCTTTTTTCAATGAAGGATCAAGCCAAGATTTGATTGAATCTCTGGACAATCAAAGTGTTTTAATAAAAGGAACCAATTGATGGCTCTGAAACTAGAAATGAACTGAGGAAAAGTCGAACTAGCTTTTGTAAGGGCTACCAAACGTAACTCAAGAGGTTTGAAATTTTGTATAGCTTTTACTCACAGATTTTTAAACACAAGGGAATGGTAAATGTGAAAATGATGCATAAACTGTGAGTTGACCATTCTCACCTGTTGAACCCATGGAACATAACTTCATCAGGTCTCATCAGGATCTTTACGCATTGATTTTCAATGGTTGATATCACATTTTCATGACAGCTTGCTTTCCAGCCTATAAATACGCTAACCATACCTGAACAGACCTTTGTGTTAAGTAGAGTTGATTCAATCTCATAGGTGGTTTCGCCTTTCATTTGCACAAGAATCGTGCTTGTCGTAAAAGTTGCATCTTCCAGGGTGCCTTTTCAAATCAGGAGGCTCAAACCAATGCCCCGATTCAACCAGAATATGTTTCAAGACAACAGACAAGTTTTTGTGGCGTAATATTACACAAACAAGTGTGTCTCGGAATATAAACCCCTTAATTTCCAGACCTTAAGTCAAAAGCACATATGATCATCCGCTTATGATTAACCACAAGACAAAGGGAGTTGCTCATCAGTCCCTACTCACATCTCTCATAATCTGGATCAGTAGACGACAGTGAAGCCCAGTGTCTCCATCTCACATCGAACAATCATAGCATTGACCTCACCGCGAATGGCCTCAAGAAACGTCTCATACGAATGTCCTCACCGCGCTTCGTGTCTCAGGGAGGGCAGGAAGAAGCTGTGCAAAGACTGCGGTGGATTAAACCGTTCTGGGGTGATCAAGCATACCATCAATAGTTCACTACATTCAAATTGTGATTCCAGCTGCCCCGTATATGGATGTAAGCCATGATTTTGTTATCATTGTCTCAATCACCAATTCTGATTCCTACTTGACGTGCTCTACAGTGACCAATTTGGATTCATACCCCTTTTCTTTGAAGGTCTCTGCTGAGACCAATGGAACTCCTAAAAGTACGGAATTACACATCACCAATTCAAATTACAAACAGAGCTTTGACCACTTTTGCCTCTAATAGGTGGGGCTTCTAATCACCATCCCAATTTCTTGTCAAGGAAACGAGATGATGTTCATAATGCCAGTAATAAAGCCACAAATCATGTATCATTTGAAGATGATAGTTCAGGTGTGTACATAAAAGCTTCAGGTATAATGTAACATACTAATTCTCTTGAATACCCTGCAGAGACAAACAGCGACACCGAAAGCAAAATCATTAATCAACTTGCACCCAAATCTAGGATTGTTTTGGGCCAGCACCGCCCCACTATTGATCATGCAATACTACCATCCAAGAGTTCATTGATGCAAAGAAGGAAATCACTAGAGCCCGAAATTACGTGCGTCACAAATACCTCCAGCGTCCATAATGGTAGGCCCTTGGCCCAATGTCAGGGTTCTACATTCACCAATAACGGGAAAATTACAACAGGTTCAGAATCTGCCTTCTCTGGGCCGTCCCACTATTGCGGCCCATTGACTATGACACTTGATTCAAATTCCAGGGAGCGATACTGTCTTGGATGAACAAGAACCTCTGAATCGAACATCGAAATATAAGGTTCCACCTGGTGTCGCTCTGGAATACCCAAAGCCCAACCACCCTCAAATGACCATCATTGAATTGGCTTTAGTCATGGCCTTCCTCTATCTGTTTGGAAAGTTTGTCTCTGGAGTGTGGGCTGTTTTTTTTCTCGCGGTGTTTCTTACTTCATTGTTTTGACCTGCAAGCGAACTTTGTAGGTGTTCTATACTGGCCTCTTCCGCTTTCATTAATTATGTTTGCTTCCATTGTTTATATTTTGTAAATCTTCCAACCAGTTTTTCAAACAATCAAGTTCAGGAATTGGACGGTTGGGAAATAGCACTTTTCCCCGGACAAAGTACGGTTTTGCCTGTTATGAGTTGTTGACCGCAGGGGTATTTTGATCAAAGTTTGCCTCATCCTTACTCAAACCATGCCATGAATTCATGAATCACATGAAACCCTTAGGAAACCGGGTAGGAGAACTTTACACAGCCCACTTTAAACCTACCATCTCAGTGTAAAATAGACCCGGTGTGGAATTTGAAAAAGGCCTTGATTTTTGAATTTTGCACCATCTTTATTTCTTTTTGGTTGTTGTAAAATAACTCTGTGTGAAAATGGTGGTGTAAAAACGCAGGACCTCAGAGTGTCATGTCATTTTACACCAAGATTTTTACACAGAGAGGTAAAAAAAGTCAACTTGAAACCCCTAAAGAGTGGAACAATAGATTTTGCACCGGGTTAGGATACACCGGGGCTGGCATTTTGCGGTCAGTTCACAATGAGATGTGAAATTCATCTGTACCTCACAATCAAATGTAAACTTTGTGAACAGTTCACCATAAATATGAGACAAAAGAGACACTTTTTTGATTTGTTGTTGTTGTTGTGGTGTTTATATAAAACTATTCATTTTTGATGAGCATCATGATAACAAAGCGTTTGTTGAGTCATTCTATTACCTTTTTGTTATATCATCATATGATTGGATTGTTAGGATATAATGTGTAGTGTTTACTTTATATGGATTTCAAAAACGGCTGAAATTAACCAAAATTATGACCAAGACAGATCTTCAGAACCGTGAAGAAATTTGCCTGATGACTGTCATTCCCAAGATCTATTGAGTCTTGTTAGATTTGCTCATGACTCTGTTGAATGATTATTTGAATTCATCCTGATTTTTTCATTTGTTCTTTTGTCAAGTTCAATCGAAAATAACTCACAGCATTCTTGGAAGAACTCAAAGAGTTCTCAGTACGGCAACAGAGAAAACCATCATGATGACAGGACGGAGTACCTAGTGGTACACACGACAATAGGTCAAAATGAACAAGAAATAAAATGAAATGTTGGAAAAGACATTCAATTCTCTATATGTTAAATGCTTGTACAACCGTGGGACATGAGAATGGATTGATGATGAAAATAAAATACTACAAATCCTGAGAGTAATGAAAAGTGATGTCACGATCTTAAAAAGGACACATAATGCTCAAGCGTTCATTATCCTAGTAGTAACTATGATACAAACCCAAACTCAAGCTGCAGTACACGAGGTTTTTGATAAGTTGACAATCAGCAATGTAGGCTCTTTGATTCCAAAGCAGCCTTGTGGGGTTTTCCAAGAAGCGCCGTGACTAACAATCTCATTCAATTGTACCACATCTTTCTTTTTCTCTCTATTGTACACAACAGTTAATCCTGAGTGTGGCCAATAATTGAACCCGTGCTTCTTTTGATGAGCTGCCGTCAAAGTAGTATATCGAGAGATGTCAAACCAAATATGCTGGTCTAACCTTCCATCACAGCGTACAATTGTCATAAATATTTCATTAATTTTCCCCCAGACAAAACCTTTTTTGTTTTTGGAAAGATGTACTGGATAGAGAACTGTGCTGTTGCCAGGGTTTTTTTTTTCCGTTGAATACACTACATTTCGACACTTTACTGAAGGCAATTGATTGACCCATCTGGATATGACGATTGCATCTTCCTTGTGCTTAGATTTTTTGTAGATGTCAGTGGAAAGCACAGCCTCGTCGCCGTATATTTCTTTCATGCGACTCAGAAGAAGGAGGTGTGTATCATAATCCAGTGTTTCGTTCTTCTTCGGATTATACTTCAGATTTGGTGGACCACACTTTCCTTCTCGAAGGTAGGCAGAAGGACTTCCGTCTGTACACTTTGGTGAAATAAATTTTGAGACATTTGCTGCGGTTTGTTTAGGGAGCTGTTTGCATAGGTCTGGGAGTACACATCGCATATTTTGAGCCATTGTCCACTTATTCAGGATTGTGTACTCTCTAGAGCCTACCTCAAAATCAGTCAATCAGTCAATCATACCTTGTTTGAAGTAAGAAGGCAACAAATCTTTGAACTCACTATCATGGTTGTTAGTTGGAATTTTGGCCAATGATCCATTTGTTGCTTCAAATGACCAAGCAGTCCAGTAAGGTGCAGGACCGAAAACCCTGACTACCTGGGGAATGTGGAGTAACATGTGCAGATTTGGAGTAACTGAGAGTGCAGTAAATAGTTCAGAGAGTCCGTGTCGATAGCTTTTTATGTGGTGTTTCAAAGCCTCCAGATCTCTACTTTGTACCTCAAATCTACGCACAATTTTAAGGATACTGATCAGATGAAGAGCATTTCGAACAATTTTGTGATCTGTGATGGGTGAATTATGACCTTTCCTATTGAAGAAAAGTATAAAGGCCGGTATTATCATGATCTCGTATAGTATAACCCATTCATCTGCTTTCAATTTGCCACCTTTGCTTGATCCTACCGTCTTTGGCACTCTGCCAATCCAAGATGGGAGCAGGACCTGTCCTATAACTTCTCTCAGTGTATTCAGATGTTTCTTCTCGTTGAAGATATGATTGTACTCTTCATCAACCTCTTCATAATCAGAGAGCTCTTCTTCCTCCTCTTCATCCCCTGTCACTTCACCTGAGAATCCTGTGAAATGATGTGGTTTAGATTCATTGCCATGAGTTTCTTGATCAGCGTCAAGTGCAGTATCGTATTTGAGTGCCATCTTTCCGAATGCAAACGATAGATCGTCTTTTGTTGGATATAAGGTGTTGCTGCATTCAGAGTTTGATTCGGTTGAAATTTGATCACCGCTGCATTCTGATCCTTGAAACTCAGAATCATCATCATCGGAATCACCGTCATCAGAATCAAAATCTTTAAGCTCTTGCTCGAATGTGTCAGACTCATCCTCTTCTGCTTGGCTGGCTTCCTGTCGCGACGAGGTACTTCTGTTCTTTGACATCAATCCTAAGGCTTTTAGTCCATGATGGCGAAGTAAACCAAGAAAAATATTGTGCATAGGCTCTACTACAGTATGTATGGTTGGGTCGAAGTAAGGTAGTTCCCACAAAACTGTGTATCGGACTCCGTTTTCCTTGAAGAGTCGTTGTCGTTCCTTAACAGTCTTTGCATTTTTCCAGGCTAATGCTTGTGATTTGAGTTCATGCTTACATCGGCGCAGGGCATGGGGAATGTGCAGTAAATTTATGTTATGTTCTCCAATTCGACATAATGAGCAGAGATTCTTCTTTGAACTATGTCCTGCCATTCCTAAGACCTTTCGCATAGCTGGAAGATCACAGATAATTGGGCCCAACATCACTCGGATGACACGACCCTGTGTGGGATACTTTGCAGTGGAAGAAAACTTGACTCCTTTCCATAAAGTGTTGAGTTCGGCAACGAGAGGCTTTAGTACATTATTGATCTGGGTCATCTTGGGCTCAGATGGTCCAGGAATCAATCCAGAAAGGAAAATGTTTTCGGGAGAAGTACGTATGTGTGGTGGAAGATTGAGGCATACTAAAGCAACAGTACCAACAGAGTCTTGCTTGCCTGCGGCCTTGTTGCCCAGTGGATTGAACCAGTCGACATTGAGCGAAAAGACAAGATTTCCAGGTGAATTTGTGAATTGATCCCCATCGATCCCACGTGCCGAGCGCCACATATATCCGTGCCAAACATCATACATTGCTGAGCCATCTTCCAGCGCTTGTTTGCTGGATTCAAGGTGCTCTTCAATTTCAGGGCGGTTCAAGAAACGAGCTAACCATTCGGTGAAAGCAACTGTTGAGAAGTATCTATTCGCATGGTGATTTTCTTCATCTTCGCCAGCCTTTGCTTGTTTAAATAGAGGTTCATTGCACTTGCGACTTGAGCGGGTTTCGCGCCAACTACATTTATCCGGTGTATCACCCTCATAGTAAAGACGAAAGCACTTCGGACAGCAAAGAGTTCGCTGAATCGTTGGTTGAATTCTTAGATCTGTGAGGACAGTCCGAATGTCCTTTGGTGACCAACCCTTTGGGAATAAACCAGCTGTGTGATTACTGGAACTCGGTACTGAATTGTTCACGTGAAGGCAAAGTGTAGCAACTGCCATGCCAATATGCTCAAACAGATACAGACATACCATTACAAGGTTCATGGCTGTGGTCAGTGGGTCGAATTTTTTGAATTGATCATAGTAATTCATACTGTATTGACCTGCATTAACATGAAAAACAACTTGAATCAGGAAATATACTCTATAGGAGGAGAAATTGGCACGGTACTTGCCTGACTCTACGCTCATACCATCCCATTTTGGCTGAAAATGGCTACCGGTTTGTTTTCGACGTGGTGGATTGGCCATTTGCTTCAAATGTGATATGTCGAGATGTGAAATGGTCTTTTCAGCTGGAGGAATTTGAGTCGAAGAAGAATGTGAATCATCCACGACTATACCATCCACCGCATCAATGATACGGTCAGCTTGCAGGGTCGTAAGATTACTCTCCTTGGGCCCAGCCAGAAGGCTGCGGGTTTTTTTGATTGACGCTTGATGGGCTTTATAGGTTGTGGAACTGCGTTTCCATAAGCGTCCAGGTTGATCCTTGTCATTTGAAGATTCCAGGCAATTAACACAGCGACATCTGATGAGTGTCGAGGAGGTCATCACAGGGTGGGAGATATTGAAAGACGTTTGGATATCAAAAGGATCACAAAAGCTGGTCAAGATGGGATTTGTGAGAGCAAATGACTGGGGCGTAAACAAAACTAGGTGGCGGTATCAATTTAGTTGAGAGTGATAAAAAAACTAATATGATATTAATGTAGTGAGTATTATGTTGTTGTTTGATATCGAATGGAGGCAAATGAAACATGCAGAAAACCAAACATCTTATTTAAGAATCAAAATCTCAGTGTCTCATCACACGCGCTTGCCCACGATTCCAGCGTGAGCTGAACATATCTGAGGTTCATGAGGACCTATCAAGTTCATAATTTTGGAGAATGAGCAAAGAACAAGACGCGTCAAATGACACCATCCCTCGGTGATGTTGAGCCAATGTCCAGTACGTGGACGCCACGCAGCAGGTGATTTGAACGTCAGTTGAACATGTATGCCGTGTCACAAACATCGTCCACTCAGAAGCCAAAAGATTAAAAAATCTCCTTTCTTTCAGCAAAATCTTTATTTGTCCTACTTTATCTCTAACCTATCCCTTTGTATCTTACTCACCAAAACGGCCTCCCCAACAAAGGGGATCCAATTCCAACCCTTACCTTGAGAACCATTTCAAAAACCAAAACAATACCAATGTGGTTATGACTGACGTCCTATCATCAATAACTGATAACACGACTTCCAATGGGCTTTTCCAGAGTGTCATCGCGATTCTGAGCATCTTCATTGAAACATATCAAAGAGCTTGGAGAATAAATCAGAGCACACAAAGAGAAAGAATCAAAGCCACTGGCACCTCAAGACTAACCAATACATCTTCCCCCTAGAAACGTGAACTTCTCAAAAAGGTCACAATAGAATGTGAATTCGACCAATAGTTCACAGTAAAATGTCTTCTTCACAATCAGATGTGAATTTCTTCACAATGAAATGTGAACCGCTCAAAAAGTTCACAATGAAATGTGAACTTCTCAAAAAGTTCACCATAAAATATGAACTTCTCAAGAAGCTCACAATAAAATGTGAACTTCCGAAAAAGTTCACATTTTATGGTGAATGTTTTGAGAAGTTCACAATGAATTGTGAAATCCACAAAAAGTTCACAATAAAATGTGAAGTCCACAAATCTCAAGAACATCTCAATAATATGTGATCTTCCCAAAAAGTTCACAATGAAATGTGAACTTCTCAAAATGTTCACAATAAAATGTGAACTTCCGAAAAAGTTCACAATAAAATGTGAACTTCTGAAAAAGTTCACAATAAAATCTGAACTTGTCAAGAGGTTCATAGTAAAATGTGAACTTTAGATGGACTTCACAGGAAAATGAAGAAAGATTTTAGTTAATGTTTTCTCTTTGATGATTGTCAAGAGTGCTTTTAAAACAAACAATTGCTTGTTTCAAGTATTTTAGTGAATCCAAAAGTGAACATTTTCTAAAGTTGTTTTTGGTACATGTGCATTGTCAATTTCATTGCTTCCGGGGAGAAGTTCAGATTCAGTGCAGGAAATACGCACTCTTGACTTTAACTTGCTTTGCGGCTCAATTTCTCAATCCTTAACTTTAAAAGATACACAACAACTGTGAAATCCGAGGTGCTAGTTCATGAGGCCAGTTTCTATTCCAATGATATGACATTTTAGCATTCTTGAGTACATTGCTACCAATCAAATAGAGCAAAGATCTTGCTACAGAACAATTTTATCAATTAAAATCAAGAAAATTCACAATTTAATATTGTATGGAACTAATATAGTCACAATTGATGTTCTGGATCACATGTCACAGTAGTGGGTGGGTTTGTAACATGATCAACATCAGTATGTTTATTATCATAAGATGAATAGTCATAAAATGCATCCATACGAGTTTCACTACGATGACGCTCAGTAGAATAATTCTCTATCTCCAATAAAAGATTAATATGACTATGTGCTGGAGACGCTTCTATGAGTTGTTGCAGAACCACCTCATGAGCTCTACTACGTTGGTATTCGAGGCTGGCTGATTCTTGTAAATCGGTGAGTCGACAATCTAAGAGCTCAATTTCTTCCTTCATTTCTTCGACCAGGGTTGAGAGGTGCTCAACCTCACTAACTGGAAATCAAGAAGAAATCAGCTGGAAAGAAAAAGAACTTAGATTTGCCCGGAGAGTCATAGAACGAGCTGCATACCTTGTTTTATTTGTTGGTCAACAAGGATATGTGCGCTTAAGCGTTCCTCAAGAGCAGAAAGTGAAGTTCTGAGGGACGAAATCTTTGTTTCCAGAGCTGAAACTGCATCGGAGTGTTTGTAGAAGAAACGATAAAGGATTAGATATAACTTTTAAGAGTAGACAGTAGCACATCTTACATATATCTTCTGACCGCGTGTTTGACATATTTTTTGTCTAGAAAACTGGGTGATTACAGAGTTGTAAAACAGTCGATTGATGGATTCAATCCTGCTGGGGGAACGGCAAATTGGTTGTTGAACGTGAATTGGGATTTTAAGGGCTATCAGGCTAAAGAATAAAGTATTGTGGATGACACAAATCAGTCGCTATAGGATGTATTGGAGATATGTAGATGTACGTAAAAAATTACAGAAATAGGGACTATTTGATCTTCAATTATGATCACGACAAATGCTCAAACTGAAGCTGGACTTAATGTGGCTTTTACGTAAATATCGGGTGACATTTGTTTCTTCATCCTTCTATCAACCAATGAGGGTTGGTATTTGTGAGAAGACCGGTTTGGAGAGGTCCAAAACATACGTACATAAGCACCACTCTTGGGGCGTCAGTGCCCTCAGCACAAGTCAGCTTAAGTAAGCATCTCAAAAGGAATTGAATAAAGCTCATGAATCACTGTAGCTGTCTGTGCTGTCGGCCTATGTCTCTCGCCTCAGGTTGAGTACATGCCGACCAAAAGATCTTTGATCAGATATTCCATTTCATACCTGGGTCTGATCTTTCCTCAGATATGGCTCAGTGAACACGATCCAACTGGGGGGCAAGATCAGCAGCTGAGGCTCACCTCCAAAAAGGGGTTAAACTTATGCACTATCCTTTACAGACTTCCCCAGTTTTGACCTAAACAAGAATTTATAAATTAGAGGCAGCTGAGTTCAGCCTTTGTTGCACGAAGTTCTTTAGATGAGAGTATATCTACATAAAACCTCCAGTTGTGTTGGATGTTCACTTTGATCACCATCACACGCATTCCCAAAACTTTTAGATATCATAAGAGTTTTCTCCCTAGTTTCAAATATTCTTTGAGAGGATTTTCACGTCTGCCCAATTGTGATACAACATTGTCATACTGCCGATCACAGAGCAACCCATGGACCCAGCAGGGTAATCTCTAGTCTTCTCTCATGTTTCTTCGGTGGCACTTTGAGCATTAATCACGATCAGAAGATGGAACTAATGCACTCAAAATTGCATTGATATTTCCGTGCAGCTTTGTTTCAATGGCGCAAATGGAAGAAAATGCTGAACAACTCAGAAGAGCCCACATCACCCCGAATGAAGTGTCCGCTTTGCTGTTGGCCAGCCCGACTTTTAACCACAATCACCAGAATATTACGGGTGGAACTCTCTGTCAATCATGTAAGACAAACACAATTGAGTGGACTTATACAAAAAAAGGGAAAGGCACTTTGAATTTAGACATACTCTCTCCTTCAGATACACGCCAGTCCCGGGGTATAAAAAGGAAATTACAGGATCCTGAAGCTTCCAGCAATGGAATGCAAGGAGCCAAAATTAGCATCAAGAATCACAAGTCACGTATGTAGTCTCTACTCTGTTAATCATGACATCTCCGTTTCTCAAATCAATTGTCCAACCACAGCTCAAACACGGTCCAAAAAAAATAAAAAAACTTCCATAACAATACCTTCTGAGGGTATTTCAGCCGGGGAGCTTCATTTGATGTCAAATGTTTTACAAAAATTTCAAAGACACCTCGAGGCCGTATTGAATTTGGGTGAAAGACTTTCACATTTGGGAATTCTGCAACCTGGCGACACCCATTCAATAATTTCAAGCTTCCCTCAGGTCCAATCCCAGACGACGGGACAACTTAATTTGAGTTTTCAAACTATAGCAAAGCCATTAAATTTGTATCTGAGGGGATTAAAGCCCGTGAAACAGGTAAGTTATTTGCATATCTTTCCGCGGAGCGTCAGGAATTATAAAACACCATCAATGCAGTGATCTGACACATCTCTTATTTGTACTCAAAGGTGGCGGACCGAGATGAATACATCAATCTAGTCACAGCGTTTATGAAAAATTATATAGCTTTCAAGGATTGTGTTGAGTTGGCATTGAGCTCCGCAGAAAGATCATATTCAAAAGCAACTCAGCCGGTTCAAAATACCTTATCCAAGGTATCTGCTTGCAGTACAACTACTATCACAGCCCAAGATGACACAGAGTTGTCCAGTGAATCATCAGAAAGTGATTCCTCAGAGCTTATTGTCAGAATGCTGATCCCCAATATGAAATAATAATTTGGTAGCCTACCCCTGGCGTCTCAGGGAGCACTGTGTACAGACTGTTGTATATTCCTTCTTTAGAGTGAAAATAAAAAAATGTCAAATTTAGGAAGTTTATGAAAACATGAAGTTCAAATACACACCTAAATTTCTCTCCAGTTTTATCTTGGAAATGAATGTTGAAGACTTTTTTTGTTCATTTCAGGGAGTGTCTCACTTGATGTCATGCAACATTGATGATCATAAAGCATCAAAAAGATTCCATGAAGTTCTTTCAGATTCCCTAAATTGTCCTGTGATTTTTGTAATTCTCTTTCAAAAACACCAACTCCATTTCATCCTGTTGTGTTCTTGTCCAAAGCAACTATCATCAAGACTTTACATCAATTTGGCCTAGTTCAAAATGTGATCGCAGATCTCCAAAGGAGGCCTTTGTGTCCCAGCTTAGAATGACATATTCCTTCCTACTATAGAATAATCATTATATCATCAATATGTATTCTCTATTTAAAAACAATCTCATTTCTTGTTTGATTTTGTCATCCAGTTGCTTTCTCAAATTTCTATAATGTTTTTTTGTGCATAATGCTTCAAGGGTTTATGATTCTTTGGTCAAACTATCTATTTAAATAAGCCTGCCTATGATTGTACACACTCTCTCAGTTGAAATACTTTCCATGAGTGGAAAGACTGCTCTGACTAAATGCATTTTCCATGAGTTGAACTTCTGTATGAGTGCGGAGGAATACAAAGGCACTGATACGCAGTTGAAAAACTTCAAAGAATCAGGGCTGGGAAGTCTGTGACAGAGGCAAGTATGATTATAAAGGATTCCTATGTAATACCAGACTCCAGGAAACCACTAGCGCGGATATGAAATCACCTGGAAAACAACAACAAACACTGCTTCAATTTTTAGGCGGTGGCTTTTGTAACAGTCAGTCTAAGCACGTACTATCTCCTGGGTGAAGCAAAATATCAATCATATGGGAAGCTTACACCCTAAATTGGCTGATCATGAGTAGCCTGAGAAGCCAACAGTTGAGGATAGTCGCATGTTGGCGTAGGAAGATTAGAATTTTGATCTGTTGATTTAGGAGATGGTAGACTAATGGTGTCATGTACTTTGTTCAAGCTCCTGAAGGTGCAAAAGAGTCAGAAAACATTATTGAGGGACCGAATATCAGTCAGAACAAAGCAATGCTGATTTACTGGTGATACTCCTCCAATGCATCCAAGAATCCAAGGTCTTTCACAGCTTGGTTCAAGATATCCAGGCGATGCTCAACAGTAGCCTCTCCGGCCACCTTCCAGTTTTTGAGAACTGTGTGAAACTGACTAATGGCCTCTTGTTGTAATTGCATGTTGGTTGACTCCAGTTTTTGATAGGCTTTTCGTAGATTAGTCACCTGTTCTTGAATCAGAGATTGAGCCTGCTCTTTTTCAAGTCGTATTTCACAAATCTTGTTTTCGTAAAGGAAATTGTATTGCTTGATGAACGTGAAGAGGTGCTCTGCTGCAACATAGTATCGTCCGGTCCTGAGATATTGTAGAACCCATATATTGAAATTGGTAAAACGTTTTAAATTGATCTCATCTTGATACATTATTCTGATTGGAGATTCTTTGAATCCTGGAAGCGGGTGATGAAATAGTGCTTGAATGTAATGTGTGTTTTTCAGTTCGGAGGGAATTAAGTTATTGATCAGGGGCACCACCATCTCGACAAAGACTGTCTTCAAAAATTTGGGATTGTCTCTTTCTGGGCTAAGGATTGTAAGATGTGGTTTAAAGGCTTGAATGAAATTGTAAAGCTCGTCAGAGGTTACTTTTTCAAGTATATCAGAGGTTTTGATCTGGTTGGTAGAGGTGTCCACAACAAGATAATCAAGAAGGTGGATTGGAATGAAAACAGAGATTTGTTCAGGCGGAGCAGACATCATTTGACTTGAGTTGATGTTATGACAGTGATCCTTCCAGGAGGGATGAGCAAACTTGATTCACCAAGACAAGTCACATATTCTAGGGAGTGATTTCTTGGCCCTTTGTTCCCCTTTGACATATATTCTCAGTCAAAATTGGACAGATAAATACAAAGGAATTTTGCCCTACATACTAAGGGGGTTTCAAGTTGGAATTAATCATGGTTTGTACGGTAAAATGAATTCCCCTTGTAGCGTAAACTTACGCAAAATTGACAAAAATGAGGAAGCTTTTACGCCTCCTGTCTTTGTAAAACATAAACAGCTAGTTTTACAAGTCACCAGGGTTTTCAAGTTGAAGGTTTTTACACATTTTTATGCTATGTACAACAACTTGATCATTAGGGGGGCTCAGGTCAAAAAATGTTACTACTTTTATCACAAAAAACTTTTCCCAATTGCGTACAATTGGTAAAAGTTATACGACATCCCAATTTTTTTACGCAAAATTTGCGTAAATTTACTCCTCAGAAGGAGATCTGAACCAAAAAATTTCCAGTCCTTTTTTACGAATTGGGAAAACTTTTTACAGCACGGTACCGTCAAAAACTTTCCCCAATTTTTCAAGAAAAGGTCGCAAATATTTTGACTTGAGCCCCCTTATTGTTGTGAAGCATGTGTGTATTATAAAGCAGGACACCTTTGTAATTCTGTAAAGGGGGCATGGCAGAACGGATGAAGGACAGCTGACAGGAAAAATCAATCTCTTCTCACTTCAGTGATGAAGTTGTATTTTTTGCTCAACACAACAAAGATAGGTTCTTGATATATTTTGTTCCTTCAGCCACCTCAACTCCACAGTGTTTCAAAGAAAGAATGGAACCAAGATTATCACAGTACACATTTCTTTTGAACCTGCCAACTGACAAATAAAAAGTCAAACAAAATGTCCAATCTACTAGAGGAATTTTTCAATCAAAAAGTGAACCCCTCAAACATTATAAACCACCCAAGCAATTTGAAATTAAGTGAAGACTTTGCATTTCCATTCAGGATTCTTCACTTGTCCTCGAGATAGATCTCCAAGCCAAACTCAATCTGAGGGAGGGAGTTAAGCACTATGAGTGACCAGCCATAGATTCTTTTCAAGCTCCTACAAATAGGACATTTATATTGGGTTTGGTTTGCAAGAAATGAAAAGGATCAAGAATGAAAGAGACAAACTGACCAAATTGTGATCAGTTTGAACACGCTTGATTTACAAAAATAGCTAGTGATATCATAGAAGATCACATTCTTTAGCAATCTTATGGAGTTCCCATTTCATTGTGAACTTTTTGAGGAATTTATGTTTTATTGTGAACTTTTGGTGGAGTTCAGATTCAGTATTTGTTTGCTGAAAATTTATGTCCTTAGACTTCTACTTCTATTTTGTGAGAACTTCATCTGAAGTTCATATTTTGCTGTGAACTTTTTGAGAAGTCCATATTTAATTGTGAACTTTTTGAGAAGTTCACATTTAATTGTGAACTTTTTGAGAAGTTCACATTTAATTGCAAACTTTTTAGGAAGTTCACATTTTCTTGTGAACTTTTTGTCGAGTTCACATTTCATTGTGAACTTTTTGAGAAGTTCACATTCTAATGTGAACTTTTTCAGAATTTCACATTTCACCGTGAAGCATTTGTGGAGTTCCCATTTGGTATTTGTTTGCTGATAAAATTATCTTGAAAGCTCACATTCTTGCCACATTCCATAAGAGACTTTTGAATGGATCTACACCCTCAACATACCATTCATTTCCATTTCAATCACTTTCATCTCGAATTCACTCTTCATGGGAGTGAATAGTTTGAATTTGTTAGTTTCTTTTCCATATTTTATAAAGATTGGGACAAGTGAAGCACCCAGCTTGAAACTACGCGGGGCTTTTGAACTTGTTGACCACTTCCCTGCCAAGATTAGAACACCATCAACACAGATTCATCCGGGCTATACTTGAACTTCGTCTGCAAGAATCGACCAGAATCCTCAAGCAGCCCAAAGCCTTCAAATGCATCAAAAAGTTCTGTAGTTTTGTACGCACAGAGATAGTTACCCAGCGGTTTACTTTTCCCCGCAGGGGAGGTCGTTGGGAAGATAATCACCAAGCCTCATGTAGTTTTATACGCACGCGCGTAGTTTTACGTTGAGACAGCCGCCCCGTTTCCTTTTCTCCACAGGGGACGTCTTCCGGAAGATAACGACAAAGCCACCTTAATGGGGGACAACAACATCCCTTTAGCAGCCTCAGTCGTTTTATACACACGTGCGTAGTTCCACGTTGAATCAGCCTCCCCGTGTCTTTTTCTCCACAGGCGACCTCACAATAATTAAAGAAAACTCATATGTAGCACGCATCACGTTTTTTTCGACTTGAAAGCCTTCTGCGGACAAACAGAAGATTCTCTTGAAACAAAGTGGATATTGAATCAAGTGGGTATAACAGGGGTCCTTTACTGCTTAATCCAACTTCCTAGAGGTTTTCAATCGACTGTAACTCCAGCAATTTTTTTTCTATACGCCTCTGCCATTAACAACTTAATCATTCATCCATTTTATCGTTCCTTGAATCCAAAGATACATTGATCGATTCAACCAGGTATCACTTCTACCTTTTATCATCTTCAAATTAACACTTTTCTGATCATTTCACAATCGCTCATCATTTGATTAGTATACAGCATTCTTCAAAGTTTCTTATCACCTCATATCTTGATTACTTTTCATTGCTCAGAAGGTAAATGATGTTTACCGCTCACTTTCCTCTCTTTCTATGTCTTGTTCCCTTGCATCACTACCTCTCAAATTTTTGGCTAGTACTTCAGTGCGTCTTGGACATTTTTAAAGTATCCCAGATGTCCAAGACCTTCATTACTGCTCCAAGATTTTTCGTTTGGTACTTGCATACATCTAGGACATCGTCCAAAGTAGCCAAACATCCTTATCTCCTTTTATGACCTATTTGAATATCTTCCTTTGGTACTTTGGTATCTCTAGGGATTTGTTCAACTATTTGTAAATGAATCGATCAGTGATTTTTTTCATACGTCTATCGCAATTCACATTTGAAACTTGAATGCCATCTAGCTAACATCGGGTATTTTGATTTTTCCAGATGGGTAAAAATCCTTCTCAACTCGCATCACTTGCCCGAAAGCAGGCCGAGAAGCGTCAGGAAAAGAAAGACCTACACGCGGATTTTCGACGTTCTATTGTTCAAGATCAACACGGTGCACCAACTACAGCCAAAGTTCTTCATGTCCTACCTAATCGCCCTGATCTTAAAGAACGTATCATCTCATACGGTCATGTCATCCTCGTTGACGGGGAAACTGGGGAATTTATCGCCAGCATCTTTACACTTCACAACAATGACAACAACCAAAATCTCCGAGATCAATTTGATTGGGCAACAAAACTGCTCTACCACCATGGACTTGCTCGCAACAAGTGTACGATCAACAAAGCTGCTGAAGCTTTAGGGCAAGCCAAGTCTGGGGAGATGTATCCCATTGGTTCTCGTGGTGGCACCGATAAAGGAAAGTCTGCAGGTAAGCTTGTTGATTATTATTGATTCGTAAAACCCTTGACTGATATTTATCAATCTCAGGTGCCTATGTACTCAATACAAATACTCGAAGCGACCCGCACCTTATCATGCAAGATATTCAACGGATGAAACTTCTCCCTACTATTGATAAATTCATCTCAAAACTCTTCGCGAACCTAGTATTTTCCCAATTCAAAGCAAATCTTGAACTTGGACAACAATATGGTGTCTCTTGGGCTTCGCCAAAGGTTCTCAACACATCTTCCAAATCTAGCGTTGGTTCCAATCTGGTCATCACGCGAGACGAATTTGCTAATGAATTGCATGAAGATCCAGACGCATCCGGATGTGCCATTGGCCTTTTCTGTTTGATGGAACGTGACTCTGGCAACGTAATCTACCCCAACGACAGCGATACACCTCCACCTTTCCACATTGAAGGCGCTTATTTTCACCTTGACAAGTACAATACAAAGATACGTTTGAGTCATTTGCCAAAGGTGGTAGTCTGGAACACAAAGACATTACACCATAGCTCACATTCTCAGACCCTCAACGTATTTGGTGAACGGGTCACTCCAGAAGATGCCAACTTAACCAATTTTGGATCTTCTGTTCAGATTTCAAAAACTATTGTCGATCGAATCAAAGGTATGAATAAGAAGGCAGCTGGTATGTCTGATAAGATGAAGGAGACTTTTAAGAAGCAGCATGTAAAAGATTATGCAGAAGAGATTACCTCAAGATTGACCGAACTCAAGACCGCAAAGAAACTCGACCCTTTGATTGAGGCACAAATCAAGGCCGGTCTGAAGAGTCTTGAGCAATACTAATTAGCGTGAAGCATTTGTTCTCTCTTTTCTCAATCATACTTTTCTTTAGCTCTATGTGATTCCGGGACTTCTTGTTCTCTTCCTCTCACATTCCCTACTTTTACTTCAGGCTGTTGATTTTTGCGGTATCCTTTTCTAAATCTCACAACACGATTTATCCAAGCGTCTTCCTTTTTGACAACATCTAACACCACATTATTGAAATTCATTCTCCTTCAATCATGCTTTTGTTTTTTACAAGTGATTCCACGACTTGTCTTGATATAACCATCTTACTCACTCTCTGGCTCATAGTGTTTTTCAAAAACACTTGTAGGTCAACTCACTTTGAATCTGAGAGTGCACCCGAAGTGATTCTACTTGTAGTTTCCAAAGTACAGAATAACGTGAGATTTACAAATTATGTATGCTCAATTTAATTGAGATCAATATGCCTTTTCAAAAGTGTAAACAAATATTTGAGGAAAGTATTGTGAACCATCCAAGAAATAGCAAAACAAAATGAAATTCTAAGGACTTAATTTTTCCAAAAACAAATATCAAATGTGGATTTTTTCAAAGTTGACATGTTGTTGTGAACCGTTTATGGAGTCCATATTACTTTATGAATGACTCTAGCTCTTTGGAACATCTTGCAAACAACATTATACACAGCCTTCTCCCTTGCTATGGAACCTTTTATAATCTTCATCATGAGCTCAATATACCATTTTCCTCTTGATAAAGGCGATCTAAACACGTAGGTCCTTAGCTCATCACATGGTTTTGATTTTGGCTCTCTGACCTTATTGAGAAAGATTTCTCATGATGAAAATCAAATGTACATACATATAGCAGAAGTTAAATGTTACTACAGTTTAGTATCTATTAATTCAAAGCAAACGGACAAGGTTAAAATGATTCACTTATCCAATCAAATCAAGCGAAGTTGATATGAGTTATCTTTTTTTGGTTCAATTTATCATACACGACTGCCACATTTAACCCATTCAAATTTACTGAAGTTCTACCTACTAAAGTTGAATGTATCTGATTTCATATGACGTGCATCATGTGGGAATCGAACAGCGACTTCCCGCGTACGCTATATCAAGTGCAAAACTATACCTATATCTATTGTTGAATTTTTCCTTTAGTACTTCAGTGCGCCTAGGAAATCTTCCCCCCTCTGTGTACATCAACAGCTGCTGGCAACTGCCGGTGATCAGGAAAGGATGTACTAAGGTTAGTGTGATGCATATCCAACTTGTTTTAACACTTTTTGTAAGACACTTTTTGACTCAAACGAAAACACTCAAATGTCTCAAAAGTTCGTAGTTATCTCACAATTCCCACAAACAACTTCTCACATTTACAAAATCAGACCATATCAATCAATGGTCTCCTCACCAAAAATTTGACTTATCACCAAAGATCAATTACCAGAAGAGTAGCATATATGTATTTATTATCTATGTACATCTGTTTTCAAAAATAATGTCATGGTGCGTTTTTTTATTTTTTGTTTTCATCGCAAGCCACGTCAATACAGGCAATACAGGCTCTACCCAGGACCACGAGTGGTTCAGGACAAACCCCGGGGCAATGTCGATGATTTGTGGATCGGTATTCTTTGGTCCCATCCCCTACCCAATTCCGATTGCAACATCGAAAACTTTCTCCTCCCAACATCCACATCCTCCTATCACATCCAGACCGAATCTATCACACCTCCAATCCGATCCCGCATCGTCTCTACCCCATCCTACCCGATCTTACCACGTAAGCCAACGTTTTCTACTTGGTTCGATAACTGGAAAGGTCAGCTATCCCCACTACCCGTTTCACCCCTCCACATCACATCATTGACACTGACATGATCGATTTGCGTACTTACAGAATGGCCAGAGTTCCCAGAATGCGAGGCGGCAAGTACGAAGCCAGCGTCAAAGTCTTAGCCATGCAGCACCTTAAGGACGGCAAGACGATCACTCAGGTTCAAGCCATTCTGAAATCACCGGTCACCTCGCGCACCATCTCGCGATGGCAAGCCTTGTATCGACGGACGGCCTCCGTGGTTCGTAATCCTGATGAATACGAAACGTTGGGAAGGAACCGGAGGTTAACAGATAAAATAAAAAAACGCACCATGACATTATTTTTAACCCTTCATCTGTTACCCCTTCCTCATCGATTCCAACCAGTTCTAGTCATCCTCGTCATCATAGAAGACCATCTTGGAACACTTTTCTAAGACACTCATTCTCCCCTAGTCGATCATCTAATCGATCATCTATACCTTGTTTCGATACGCCTGTTTCAACTCCTGATCAAACTCATCATCGAAAAAAGTCCAACTCACAAGTCTTACTTCTCATCGATTTACAATCTCCACTTCCTTCTCTCAATTCAACGATCACTACCATTCAATCATCTAATTCTAATTCACCATCTACTTCTGATATCATTCAAAACAGCTCTACTACTTCATCACCTTCACTCTTAACTGATTCTCATCTCATTCAAGATCAAACAGAAGATCTTTCATCTCACTCTTCAAATTAACCTAACACACTCACTTCACTTCATTCGCATTCTACTACTACTGATCACTTATGATCTACTCTCTCTCCATCTAACCCACACCTTACCAATAACACTCTTTCTTCTTCGCCATCTTTGGAACATGTTCATGAAGAACATGAACATAATGAGGAAACAGGTCTGGGACTTGACCTATCCTCAACACAACAGGTACGTGCATTCATCTATTCTATCTATTGATCCACCCTTCCAACTTGTATTGATTCATTTTCTATAGATCAAAGCTCTACCGAATTCCGACACACCAACAGCTACAACGGCTCGTCCGACATCTGGAGTTCAAGTTCCCACGCGAAGAATATATGTACAACGGATGGTGGTTGCTAGGAACGTACCTGATCAATCAATACCCAAGCCACCACCTTGTCCTTCAGAACAAGCTGAGCGTCCTCAAACTTCAAACCAAGATCAAGTGATCTCTAACACGGTATCCGATGATCAGAATCAGGAATCGACCAATCAGACACCGAGTGGCAATCGATCAAGTGTGTCGATCAAACAAGCTACCATGATTTCACGACTTTTATCTGTTGCTGCAGCTGCAACTGCTTCTTCTCTATTACCTAACTCGATTAATCCAGATGGAACGACTATCTCTAACGCCACCCCTCCTATAGATTGAAGAAGAGGAAACTAGAGAGAATAGATCAAGTGAACCAACCACGCAAGGACCCTCATCGCCTCCCCAAGAACCAAGATCTTGGTTAATATTCGTTTTAGCAGGACTTTATCCTCCATTGTAAGTGTGATCCTTTCAATCCAACCTTTTGTTTCAATTTGAACGGAGAAATTGATTTGGTTCCTTTTGACAAAAAAAACCCATAGACATCTAATCTTTAATACACCAACTGAATATATTCCAGAAGGAAATCAACCATTAGGAGAAACAGATTCAGAAACTTGACAAAATTTACAACATAATAATCAATTAGATTATGAAACGATGATGAGATTAGCATAATTGATTGGAGTACATAAACCTATGACCGTTACAGCGACTGAAATTGAAAATGCTGATTTAACTTTGGTTCAATTTAAACATGAGATTATTCAATGAGTTTTGAGGGATGGTGATGTATTGGAATATATGATTGAGAAATGTTTAAGTAAGTGTTTTTATCAAATTAATCATGTTTTTAGTTTTTGGAGATGGGATTTGAGATTGATTTCGTTTTGATTTTGTTTAGTTTGTTTAGAAGATTATGTCGAGGATGAAACATTAAGATTATTGAAATGTAAACATTTGTTTCGTAAGTGAGTACCTTGATTTTTTTTGACCCTTTTTTTTGAAAAGTGATCAACTTCAATTCATTCCCACTAATGATTTTTTGGTTTCTTTTTTTAGGAATTGTGTAGATCAATGGCTTATGACTGGTAGTGCTACTTGTCCAACTTGTAGAGATATAGCTGTTTAATTCAAAGAAAAGAAGAAAAAAACAATACAAGAAAGTTCAATTTTTTCATGTTTATTACTCTATTTTAAAAAACAAAAATCTCAACTCATTTTAACTTCTTTTTCTTTCATTTTTGTCTTCATCTTTTAAAAATTTCTTTTTTTCCTTAAAATTATATATGTTTGTTTGTGTTTTTTCCTTTTCATTGATCTTTCATTAACTAAATATGTGTTTGTTTGTTTTGTTTGTTTTTTGAAAGAACTATATGTGTGTGTGAATGTGAATGTGAATGTGTTTGTGATTTGTGTGTGTGAATTGTGATTTTGTAACTTGATAGATATATTATTTTTTATATAAACCAAATTATATAAGTGTTTCAGAAGGAGAAAAAAAGAAGAGGAGGAAGGGGATGGTTAAAATTGGGTGAATCCGTTGACCCAGGGACTTTATTTTCTTTCTCTTTTTTTTGAAATTTTTTTAATTCATTTGTATGTTCACTGTGTATGTTTTCAGAAAAAGAAATCTATTGAAAGAAAGAAATTTGAGATCACTACTCTTTTGAGCCTTTTATCTGAAAATCAGCAAATGTTTTTATGAGTTTCCCGTCTTTCTTTTGGGTTCTTTTATAGGGTTTGTTCGGTTGACGAAATCTTTGTTTGAATAGGGAAATCATACATATGTAACTTCTTTCCTGAGTTTTCTTTTCACAAAATGTCTTCTGAATTTCAACTGCTCACGGGATCTTCTTCAATTTCAATTGGTGATATATCAGTTTTATGTGGAATACGATCTGAAGTATCTGAACCAACTTTTATGATTTCAAATGAAGGTTATACAAGTAAACAAAATGCATCACTAAAAGGAACAATTTCTTATCTCCTTTTTTGATTTGGGTGTAGTACCTAATTATATCTAGCCCAGAGGATTTAGTTCTTCAAAATCAAGCAACATCAAATCAATGATTAAATGTCAAACCAAGTCAAGAATGTAATGTATTGTGAATTCCTTCAAACTTCTTCAAACCACTAGCACATTGAGAAACTGACTTCCTTTTTCCACTATTTTCAATAGTGTCAACAAAAAACCAATCCTGTTTGAATGAAAGATCAGAAATAATCAATTTAAGCCATTGGTAATTGAATTAGAGAATTAGTTTGGGTGATCTTTTGAGACTTGATATATGTCTATCAAGTGATGGAAATATTTCACACCATTCAAGTATTCCAATAAAGCAAACACTTTTACCTGAAGCTTATGCACTTGGTCTGGCATCTCCAGTCGTGATTTCCACTTGGAGCTTTAAACCCAGTCCATCTGGTACAGCTTCTGGTAGGCAGGTCAATCCACCATGAATATGCTGGGACCGGGAGGGCCAATTTGCCTTGTATGATCATGAGGAACATGATCCAACATGTGTAAATTGATAGCTGGTCCTTCATCAGTAATCTTAGTAGGGAGTCCATTATGCGTATTTCATGCATAACACAAATTGTGAACTTCACAAAAGGTTCACGATGAAATGTGAACCATTGGAAGTTCACAAAAAATTGTGAACTTTGCTAAAGGTTCACAATTTTTTGTGAACTTCAGATAAAGTTCACAAAGAAATGTGAACTTCCAATGGTTCATATTTTATGTATAATACAAAGTGTACAGCTTCTTGTTAGCAGGTGTACACATTTCCAAAAGTTATCATTTTAAATTGAGATCAATTCACAAATCATATCACTATTTTGGTTCTTAATTATCACTTAGCCCTGCTCCTTTGATGTACACTAAGCCTGGATGAGAGAAAGTGACCTACCAGCAGTTGCATTGCTAAATAGGTGAGTACTGCTAGTGTGTCTTCAATTGTGCAAAACATGATTTACAATAAGTTAAGATCCCTGTTCTTTTAAACTGCAATCCTTTTACATGCTTTTGTCAACATTTGTAACACCTATGTGATATTGAATGCATTCTTGTCCTGTGGATTTGTTATGTGCATATATAAAACCAAAACTTTACACTGGTTTCAATGTGTCTGGATGAACTTTAGAGAGAAATGAGAGTTGATTGTGATTGAGTGAATGAAAATTTGGGTTCAGCAGAAAAACAGGAGAAACCAGAATCACACACTCATCCTCTTGAACACAGCACAGAAAAGGACCAGGAGGGGCAAACAAGAAAGAACAAAAAGATGTATCAACGTAATCTCAGGTCTTTGAACCCCTTAATTCATGATTTCAAATCTTCACCCCTTTCTTCACCTTGCATTTAACCACAAATTTCTGAATCCCACTATTATAACCAAGATGTATCAACGTAATCTCAGGTCTTTGAACCCCTTAATTCATGATTTCAAATCTTCACCCCTTTCTTCACCTTGCATTTAACCACAAATTTCTGAATCCCACTATTATAACCAAGCACTAGATAACTACAATAGAGAAAATGATTGTAAGTGACTTCGTTAGGATCATTGGCGTTGGTGAGTTTGTTTTGAGTTCTGAAGTTTTTATTGGTGTCGCACCAATCCAAGATGTAAGTGGTGAGATTCAAACATGTTTTTTTCAATTTCTTCCTCAGTCAATTTCTTGGTCTTGTAATCTTTCACTTTGCCATAGTCATGAAGCTCAAGAGAGCAAAGAACTTACTTCATTGATTGACACCATTAAATAAAGCTATCGTCAGTAAGCTCATCAGAGACCTTATATTTCCAGTTTGTTCAGAGCATCCTTACGCTTTTTCTAAAACAAGAGGAAAATCTCAAGTAGAAAGGATCAACATGCTTCCTTCAGTCTCCAATCACTTTGCTTTGACTATGTAGATGGCTATCTTTTCTGAGGTTTACTAGTAAAAACATGAAGAAATTCAGTATGTAAAAAAACACAGCACCATTCCCCTCCAATTCCACCCGTTCACATCAAAAACAACTTCACAACTCATTCATTAATCTTATCCGACTCAAAATTCACAAGTAGACTACGCAATCACCCCTTCACAATTCTACGATTTTAACTTGCTGCTTCACAACTTTTCAGTAGGGGACTCAATCTCGCTTTTTCAAGTTCACAAATCTCAATCGATCTCTCAGACCTGGCCCTTCTACAATGAAAAACATACCCGATTCTAACAAAGCTAGTTCAAACTTATATATTCCCACGGACGAGGAAGGCAATCCTTTATTACGGTCACCACCAATGGGCACCGTCTTCAAAGACCTTCAAGATTTATACAATTATATCGATCCACTCACAGTAGATCATGGGTACAAGCTCTCAGTTCTTGATTCCCGGTATCTTCCCATTGATTCGTGGATCGAGTTCAAATGCTACAAAGGCTCAACTCGGCATGCGCGTTCACCAGGAGACTGCCCATTCTACGCTCGAGCTGATCGAAAACTTCCATCAGACTCTTGGACTTTCACGATCAAGAAACCCCAACATAATCACCCTCGCTCAAACACAGAACTGCACTATCATCAGCCAAAAAAAACGAACAAGTCGAAATCGCAAGAATCAGCGCCTGCACCCGATTCGGTTATTAAACGACCTTCTAAACCTCCTTCTCTCTCTAAAAAATATGCTGATCACATCAGGCGCATGAAGAACCTCGACCACGCCACACAGACCTCCCTCCTTGAACGCTTTGAACGTGAAATTACGCTTGCCGAATTAGCCAAAGGTGCGACGGCTCACTCAGAGCAAGAAGAAGAGGCAGAAGTTGAAGTAACAAAGGATGGAGCCAAAGTTGAAGAGAAAATGAAATCATCAACAAAATCAAAGTATGGAATGGAAACTAAAGAGAGCGATTCAAATACCCCGAAGCATGAGATCAAACTCAAAGAACAAGAAAAATCAACTTCCAAGCATGCGAATCCACCCAATCATCAGCCTCGACCTGACAAGAGAGCTGAGAAAAATCCATGTGAGACTCCTGAGCAAACAACCTCTGTCAAAGCTCAAGAAAATCTTCGTAACTTAAAGATCAATCAAGACCATCAGTCTTCCAAACCAACTGAGTCTTCCGATTCCACTCAAGTCAAATCAACTGAGTCAAAGCCTTGCGAGTCCGAAGTCACACTCTCTCCGATGTTAGCACCATCATCAAAAATCAGTAATACGATAACTAATCCAACTTTGCCATTCCCAAAGGTAAGTATTTTAAATACATTCCATTGATAACAATCTCATATGAAAATTGACAATCAATTGATCTCCTCCTACTTCCTGATCCTACACAGCTCACAAGTCCAGCACCGATAAGAACTGAAATGCCAACCCCCTCTCCGCCAATAGGACTCGATCTTCACATCAAGGATGGATCAGACCGACCTCCTTTCTCAACTCCTCCGCCATTCGAATTTGAAGAAGATAAATTCGAGACTCCGAATGAAAGCTTTCCATCCATTCCACAGATGCACAAAACCACCCAAACCGAGTTGCGAATTGAACAACCTCAAGATGAAAAATCCACACGGATTCTCCAGATTGCTCAGGTTCAGCCACCAAAACAAAAGAACATTGAAGCTCAATTAGAAACCATTCAAGAATCACAAAAGGATCCAAACTCACCTGCCTCTGTTGTCAAATCCCCATCAAAAAAGCGCAAGACAAGACAAGCCCCTTTGGTCACTCTTACTCAATCATCTGCTCGGATTACAAGTGGTAAGGCCAGCCAACTCAGCCTACAATCCGATTCCCAAGGCATCAAACCCAAACAATGTCCTTCTGCCGTGAGTCAAACCCTCCTCCTCAGCTCATTTCAATGCTGAAGTCATGCACTTTTATTTTTGTGCAATCTACTTTTACGTTTATTCCAGCCTTTACCTTACATCGATGATATTCCCGCTTACCTGCACCCTTTCTTAAGAAATGTCACCGAAGTACCAGGCGAAGGTCTTTGCGCTTTTGCGTCCATCGCTGTCTGCCTTGGTCGTTCACCAGAAGAAGCAACCATTATTCGTAGTGAGATGGAATTGGAAGTTCGTCTGCGATACGATTGGTACGAGAAGTACATTCCAGATTTGTGTATCAACTATGATATACAAAAATTACTCGCAATACTTCAAAACCCAGACAGCTCAGCAGGCCGAGACCTTTGGTACCCGATGCCAGGTGGCATGCCGCTCATTGCCAACACATACAACCAGCCTGTCATCTTCTATACTCAATACAACGCTGCAACCATGCACACATTCCCATTCTTTTCACCTCCCCCTTCTGATATACGACCGATTGTCATTGCTCATGTGAATGACAAAACACATTACGTCCCCCTCGATCTCACTTTCACGTCTACACTTCCTATACCGATCCTCAACCATGAATGGCCTCATTTACACGATCCCAGCGCAGACGGATGGAAGGACATGTATTCTTCAAACACACAAATTTTCTTACGAATATCCAAGGCCCTCAGAGAAGCCAGATCGAAGAAACAGGAGGAACTGCTTTCTGAAAATCCACTCACCATATCCATCAGCGGCGCAAGCGAGGATGAAGAGTCTTTCAACAAACAAGACCGTTTGTCTCCATCAATATCAGTGACTCAAAATTCAGAAATTCAGCAACCCATCAAAAAAAAACAAAAACTGATTCTTAGATTACCAAACCCCGACAATACATCCATTGACAACACCAATATCTCAGTTCCAGTCCATTCATCTCCATCCACATCACTTACTCAACCTTTAGACATGGAACAACAAACCGTCAAAAAAAAACGAAAATTGATTCTTAATTTACCAAACGCCAACAATTCATCCATTCACAACGCCAACCTATTAGTTCCAAAATTAGAGAATGAATTAATGAAAAAGTCTAAAAAAAATCCACAAATCGTATTACTTAGTTTTGATGAATTGTCAGATTCTGATGGAACTCTATTGCCACAATTTGAATATCAAATACAGAGTAGGAATTGTGCATCATTACCGTCAGGATTGAATAAATATAGATGTTCATCTTGTGTCAGTAGAAAAGGGGGATTTATTTGCGCATTTATTTATATTCGATCATGGATCTATGAGAAACATACAGCTAATTTAGTAGGAGGACCAATCTTCGAGTCTATTAATCAAACAGCCCTTCAAACTTCTTATCGTAAAGCTGAATTTATGATATTCAATGAATTAAGTTCACATATGAATGAATTAATTAATCTAAGGAGAACCGTCGGAAAAGCATTGAAACCTGTCTTGCAAAGAGAGTTGATCGAATTTCAAAAAAGTCAAAGTGTCATTTTTATTGGTAGAAGGATTGATGTATCAACTCAATGTGATTATTGTGCGACGACGTTGATTGGAGTAGCTTGGATGTGTGAAAGGTGTGGGAAGGAAGCATGTGTGATGTGCTTCGACATATTTCAAACACTGTCTAATGAACATGGCAAAGAAAAGGACAATCAAAACAGTGCAGCTGGACACAATTTTCATTCTTCTTGGATCAAACGGACTGGTCGTTGTGTGAAAGCGTTTGGATCTCAACATGACACTTCTTCATACTTCAAAGTATCGCATCTAGCTCGGGAAGAAATCTTGAAATACTTAGAAGAGATCGATGAGGTCTTTCGACAAGACTCAATCAATACCACACCTCCACCTTCACCTTTCCCTATTGATGACTTCCTTCATCATCCACCGGATTCAGAAAGTGATCCTTATTATAAAGTAGACGTTAACACACTTGAATCTAATCACATGATGTTTGATCAGATTTGGTCATCCGGGGTTCCTCTAGTGGTGACTGGGGTTCAAGATCGAATGCAATTACCTTGGGATCCTGAATATCTGAGCACAACTTATGGAGAGGAACAGTGTAGCATGTTGGACTCCAACTCACCGCATGGTGACACCATCAAGACGAATGTTGGAGACTTTTTTGAGAGATTCAAAGGATCAAATTTCCGTGATGCAAAAGCTTGGAAACTAAGGGTTTGTCTGTATTCTTTTGCTCACTTAGAGATACATTTTTCTGAATTTGCATGTGTCTAATTGTTGCTATAGGATTGGCCACCCGAGATAGACATGAATCTGAAGTTCCGTGAATTATTTGAAGATTTCCAAAAAGCAGTACCCATGGGAGAGAGCACTAGGCGAGATGGATTGAAGAATCTCACAGCGCATTTTCCTATGAATGCAAACATACCAGATATGTAAGTAATCCCTTTTTGGATAATCTGTGTTTCAATACGACAATCAATCATCCTGTTTCTTTCTTACTGATGCTTTTGTTTGTTCTGGCATAGTGGACCAAAGGTGAGTTCCGTTTTGAATCTCTGTTTTCTTTTGCATGTTGGCTTTGTGTTGACTGCTTTGAGTGATGGAGTATATAGATGTACATTGCTATGCAAACTTCAGATCAAAGTGGATCATCTGGATCAACTGGGTTTGTAGTTTGATCTAAATCAAGATTAATCCCTTTCTCTTTGCTATCCATACTAACCTTTTATCTGGGATTGTTTGCTTTGAAGTCTCCATATGGACATGTCAGGTTGAGCCAACTTTTATTGATCAGATTCCGGGTCCCTAATATATAAGATCAATTCATGATATTTTTTGTTGTAGATGCAGTCAATATCCAAACGTATGCCAGATGTAATCAGGAAGGAATCAAAGGTTGTGTGAGTAAACATTCCTGATATTCTTTAGATTGAGATCTCAATTTGCGACTCACAACAATATAGCAAAACACTGAAGTGATTTTTTATTGGATCCCCAGTCTTTATGGCATCTATATCATGCTAATGATGCGGAGAAAGTGCGTAAATTTCTCTATGAACATCATGCTCAACAATTAGGGATCTCCGTTGAAGAGGTTAAGAGTGGATATGATGATCCAATTCATGTGTATGTTTGTTCATCATATCTTTTATGATGGTGATTGATTCTGATTTGATCTGCTTCTTGGATAAATTAACTATAGGACAAGAACTTACATTGACGTTGAGAAGAGAGAAAAACTGCGCAAAGAATATGGGGTGAAAGGCTATGAGATTAGACAGGTCTGTGATTGTTTCTTTTTCTTGGTGTTGGAAATTAATAGATTCTTTTTTTTTTGACCAATGACTTCTTTGCATTGTATAAATGATATAGAAACCTGGAGAAGCAGTTTTCATACCTGCGTACACAGCACATCAAGTTTGTAATCTAGCAAATTGTATCAAGGTAGCTGGTAAGCTGTGCTCAATCTTTGAGATAAAAGAGCTTGAATTATTTGGTTATTATTCACATTACTCAAATCTTTTGCTTGGGGAATGTTCAGCCGACTTTGTTTCACCCATATCAATTGAGAAATGTATGAAGCTTAAAGAAGAGTTTAGGGAACAATTGCGTGAACAACCCAAACCTTGGAAAGGCGATGTTTTGCAAATGGAACAAATGCTTCTTTAGTCAGTCTTGGTGTTTCTTTTCCAGTCATTTTTTTTAAAGATTTAGGATGGGCATTTGTGTTTACTTTGTATCTTTGCTGCTCATTTTTGTAAATTTTCAGTGCTTTTGAATCTTTAGGGATAAATATAGAAGGGTTTGAGTTTTGAAAGTGCAAAAGGCTGGCCAATAACAAGGCTTCAATTTCTATTTTTGAAAATGGTTTTTCTCAAGATAGGAGAGACAGGGGAAATGTGAAAGGCTGTGCCGCCATTTGTTTTTTTATCACAACCTCTTCAGTAAAATTTGTTATGCACTGTGATGATGCAAATTCTGAGAGCTTTGATTTGGCTGCTGAGGAGCTACACCTAACCTGATATTACCCTACAACAACTTTTTTTCTACATAAAATATGCGTATACGCATATTTTATGTATAAGTAGTTTATGGATTGCTACACCTTTTTGAAAATGTGAATAAAGTTTTGATGAAGTTTCATCTGAAGTTCACATTTTATCGTGAACTTGTCAGAAGTTTGCATTTGCTTTGGGAAAATCAACCCCCCAGACTTCTATTTCTTTCTGCTATTTCTTGGCTGGTTTACCGTAGTTGAATTCTGGCTTTTTATGTACTTATATCCTACACCACTTTGAGTTATACATAACATATGCGTAATTCATCAAAATCCATACACCTCTTGGAAAATGTGCGCAAAATTGTGATCAATTTCACATTATATTGTGAACCTTTCCTGAAGTTCACATATTTATGTAAACTGCATTTATACTTCACATTGTATTGTGAAATTGTGGTGAAGTTCACATTTAATTGTGAACTTCATCTAAAGTTCACATTCAATTGTGAACTTCATCTAAAGTTCAGATATTTTTGTGAACTTCATCTGAGACTGAAGTTCACATTATATTGTGAGCTTCATCTCATTTAATTTTGTCTTTACATACTTGTATGCTACAAAAATTTGTAATAAGGGGGCTCAAGTCAAAATTTTTGCGGCCTTTTTGTAAAAAATTGGGGAAAGTTTTTTACGGTACCTTGCTGTAAAAACTTTTCCCAATTTGTAAAAAAGGACCGTAAGAATTTTGTTTTAGATCTCCTTCTGAGCAGTAAATTTACGCAAATTTGCGTAAAAAAAATTGGGATGTCGTATAACTTTTCCCAATTGCGTAAGATTTTGCGTTAATTTCACGCAATTGGGTAAAGTTTTTTACGATAAAAGTAGTGAAAAATTTTGACCTGAGCCCCCCAATTATATAAAATACGCATACAATTTGTATTATACATACAATACGCATACAATTTGTATTATACATAAAATATGCGTACAATTTGTATTACACATGAAAAAAATATGTGTACAATTTGTATCATACATGAAATATACGTACAATTTGTATTAGAAACATTTCTTTGTGAAGTCCATCTAAAGTTCACATTTCATCATGAACCTTTTGTGAAGTTCACATTTTTGTAAACTTCATCTAAAGTTCACATTTCATTGTGAACTTTTTATGAAGTTCACATTCATTATTTGTATATGACCAAATCATGTCCTCAGATTTCTATTGCTTTTTGCCATTTCTTGGGTGGTTTAAAGTTGGCTTTTTTACGTGGTTATACACTACAACAGTTTTGTGGTATACATAAAATATGCATAATTTATTGAAATCAATGAACCTTTTTGAAAAGGATTAAACAAAACTTTGCTAAGGTGAACATTTTATTGTGAACTTTTTTCAAAGTGCACAAAAGAATGCGAAGTCCATAAACAGTTCCAAGTGGAAGTTTACAGTGACCTCATAAAAAGTTTACAGAAAATTGCAATTTCTTTGTGAACTTCATCCAAAGTTCAAATTTTATTGAACTTTTTCAAAGTTCACAAGAGAAGTTTACAATGACATGTGAATTTCATAAAAATGTCACAGAAAATTGGAATCCTTTTGTGAACTTCATCTAAAGTTCACATTACATTGTGAACTTCATCTAAAGTTCACATTACATTGTGAACTTCATCTAAAGTTCACATTACATTGTGAACTTCATCTAAAGTTCACATTTTATTGTGAACTTTTCGTGAAGTTCACATTTATGGTTTGTTATCTGAACAAATGAAGTCCTCAGATTTCTATTGCATTTTGCTGTTTCTTAGGTGGTTTAGAAAGTTGGTGTTTTTTCCGTAGTTCTACGCTAACCCAATTTGTGTCTACATAAAATATGTGTCATTTAGATTTAATGAAATCAATAAACCTTTTTCAAAATGTAAACAAAATTTTGATAAACCATTTTGAACTGTTTATGGAGTTTACATTCTTTTGTGCACTGTGAAAAAAGTTCACAATCAAAAGTTTACAATGACATTTGAACTGCATCCAAAGTTCACATTTTTTCGTGAAGTCCATCCAAGGTTCACATTTTACTGTGAACTGTTTTCAAAGTTCACAATGAAGGTTTACAATGAGATGTGAACTTCAGAAAAAGTCCACAGAAAATTGTAATGTTTTTGTGAACTTCATACAAAGTTCACATTTTCTTGTAAACCTTTTCTGAAGTTCACCCCTTTTTGTGAACCTTTTCTGAAGTTCACATTTTTTTGTGAACTTCATCTAAAATTCACATTTCATTGTGAACTTTTTGTGAAGTTCACATTTATTATTTGTTATCTGAACAAATCAAGTCCTCAGATATCTATCACTTTTTGCTATTTCTTGGGTGGTTTAGGGTGTTTCAAGTTTTTTTTGCTTAATTTTCAAAAAAATTCTGCAATTCCTACATGAAAAGCAAGTGGGATTGAATCGGATGGGAGGATGCGATAATACATCTGGGGTAGAATCGCATGAAACGAGGCGAGGTTGGATCACATCTAAGTGGAGCGATGAAACAATTTGTTCGGATTTTTTTGGTGCGATTCCATGGGTTGAATCGCCTGCGCATTTGAGTCGCATTTGATTGATGCGATCTTGAATCGCCTGAGCGGTTCAGTCACATTGAGCCGATGCGATATTGATTCGCTTGAGGATTAGATCGGGCTGAGTTGATGCGATCTTAAATCGCATCTGAGTCAAATCGCACAAAAGGATGCGATTTCACAAGTTGGATCGCATGAAACCTGTGCGATCTCACATCGCACAGGCTCTTCATCGCATGTCACATATGCGATCTGAAATCGCATCTCAAAACGCGACCTGAGCGCGCATGCCACAATGCGATTCAAATTTGTTGGAGGTGAACAAATGAAAACCAGACCAAAGGTGGGAAGAGCACACATGACCGGGTCTCACAGTCTCACAACAGTTTTAATAGCAAACAAGGAAGTTAAACTACTGCTTGATAGCGGAGCTTCCTGCTCAGCAGTAGGAGAAACATTTCTAGAAACTATACTACCAAACTGGCAAGAGACAGCCCTACCAAAAAGTAACACTACCTTTAGGGGATGTGGTACGACACTTACACCACTAGGGGTAATTGAAATCCCTGTAGTCTTCCCTCACACAGAAGGTTCTACTAGAATAATAGCAGAATTCGTAGTAATGAAAAACGCAACACCTAAATATTTCATTTTAGGAGATGATTTCCTGTCACTCTATGGTATAGACATTATACACACGCGAGAAAAGTACTTCACGATAGGTAATGACAACAAACGAAAGAAATTCGCGCTAAGAACAGCCAACGTTATCATGGATATAAATATGAAACATACCCCTCTTTCGCACGAAATCAAGAGCAAAATAAGTACATGTTCGAAACTAAGCATCGAACAAGAAGAAAGGATACACAACTTAGTAAGTACCTTTTCAAACACTTTCGGACTAGGAGCAGTTAAAATTGGGACCATTGATAAGTATGAGGTAGAGATCAAACTTACAGTTGATGCGCCATGGCCTCCTATTTTAAGAAAGCCGGCCTATCCAGCTAGCCCACGAAACCGTTTAGAACTTGAAAAACATACGAAAGAATTGGTAAACCTGGGTATTCTTCGCAAAGTAGGAAGTAATGAAGAGGTAGATATTACTACTCCATGCGTAGTAGCTTGGCATGGGGGGAAGTCGAGAGTTTGTGGCGACTTTAGGGCCTTGAACGCATACACAATACCGGATAGATATCCAATGCCCAGGATTGAGCAAGTAATAACAAACCTGGGAAAAGCAAGATTTATAACAACAATGGACCTTATGAAAGGATTCCATCAAAACAAAATTAGCCAAAATAGCAAAAAATTCCTTCGAATCATATCACACCTAGGGATATTCGAGTATCAAAGAATGCCGTTTGGAATAAAAAACGCACCATCATTCTTCCAACGAATGATGGATACTGAGTTCCACGACGAACTTAGACAAGGACAAGTCATTGTGTACATTGACGACATAATCATTTTTCACGAAACATGGGAAGAGCATATTGACTGCATTACATCCATCTTACAAAAATTACAAGCTTTAGGAGCTACCATCTCGTTAGAAAAATGTAAATTCGGCTACGATGAAGTCAAAGCGCTTGGACACATAGTCTCAGGTTTGACATTAGCAATTGACCAAAACAAAGTTGCAGCTATTTTGCATAAACCTTTGCCTCAAACAGTTAAAGAGATTCAAAGTTTTTTAGGATTCTCCAGCTATCATAGAATGTACTTAGAAGCATATTCCAAAATTACAGCTCCACTATATTACCTCCTTAAAAAAGGTGTAGAATTCTCAATCACGAAAGAACGAGCTTTGGCATGGGAAAATGTAAAGAAATTACTTACGAGCGCACCATGCCTACTACAGCCAAATTTCGAAAAACCTTTCATACTTTACGTTGATGCAAGCTTTATGGGTCTAGGAGCCGCCTTACACCAGAAACAGATCATAAATGGCAAACTAGTCAATGGACCAGTTTGCTTCATATCAAGGCAACTTAAAGAAAGCGAGAAGAAATATGGCGCCCCACAATTAGAATGCCTAGCTTTAGTATGGGCATTATATAAACTACATTATTACCTAGACGGGATATACTTTGAAGTC